ATTATTTAGCTAGCTTACTGCATGATGCGCACAGCATACAAGTATAGACTAGATCACCTAAGTTGGAACAAAACATCTCATGTTTGTTTGAAAATGGTTTGAAAGTGCTACTTGCAAGTAGGCTAAGACGTGGATTTGCCACCCTCGAGTGGGCTTAAGAAAACATGATTTTTCTACTCTCAAGTGGGCTTGAAAACTCGTATTTCGATGAATTGTTCCAATTCAAGCAATCTAACCTTCACCCACAGGCATTCAGGCAGTTATATCATTTAAACAAATAGCCTCATAGCAAGCATGCTGTCATGGCAATCAATAACACACATGCAAGATGCTAAAACGTAAAAGCTTACCTAGTACTCCGAGCCAAAACAAGAAGTTAGTTAGTAATCAATGCATGATCCTAGTTCATGTTAAGATGGCTAATGCAACACATGCAAAATGCAACTAGAAATAGGCTCGGCTATTCTAAGATGGCATATGAGATGCAACTTGGTAGCATGTATTCAAATCGGTATTGAAATACAATGCACTTTGTATGATGTGCCGAGCCCGGTTCATGCAAGACAGATAAATGGGTGCAAACATGCGAGCATAAGTATGCTAATTGAAACATGACCTAGAACTAACCATCGTAAGCGGTTTAAGTAAAAGGGAGAAAGACGTGGGGTTGGAAAACATTCACACACTCACGCACACTTATTAGAAAATTCGTGCCCTCGACGGAGGGTCCGAATAAATAATACAAACCAACTAATTAATCAACTACCCTAGCTAATTAATTATTACAAAACTCTTAACTAATTAAACAAATTAATTAAACTATGAAAATTGTAAAACAACCTCGGGGAGAGAAACAAATGCATGCTCGGTTGGCTTTGCTCAGAAATCTGTTGCCATGCCACATGTTGCCTCTATTTGCACTACTCTATACCTCTGAAGACTACACAAGTCTCTGTGATGCTCCAGAATCACTTTCTGTACACTGTGAGAGGTCATCGACCAAGTGGTAAGGCCATCCGCCAATGAAAAGATGCCATCGACCAATTATGAAGCTGTCGGCCAGCCAAGGTTAGTCGATCGGCACTGAAAGTAGCCGACCGGCCATTTCTTCCTGCAGAATGCTGTTTTGCTGCAGCAGATGACAAACAGAGCATGGCAATACATTTACAAGGCAATGTTTGCATGAACACCCTCCTTATCATGTTTGAGACTCAAAGGAGTGTAGTCCTCAACCCTCAGGCCACCAATCACGCATTCCAATGCATGATGGCCAAAGGAGCCAAGTGTGCAAATCAATATGGAATGAATGCACAAAAACAACATGAATGCCTCACACTCTATCATGTTGGATCAAGAGTGTCGACGATCGAGAATTGAGGCACGTTTTATCACTTCAAGTATGAAACGTCCCTCGTCCCTCGTGTTTGGTTTAACACCTAAACCAAACACAATGCAATGTATGCAACATGGAGATGCTATGCAATGCAACATAAGCATGCCAAATGCAATATGGCTCAAGTATGCACACAAGGTTAAGGTATCAAACATGCCAAATGCAATGCAACCTAAACAAGCATGTGACAACATGCAATCTAACAAGTATGCGACAATGTTATGTAATGCAACTAGCTAAACATCATGCAATATACCAAACATGCAAACATGATAAAATGCAAACATGCAAATATCATGAAAGCAAACATGCTCAATGGACTTAAACCAAAAGGATAGACCTCAACCATGCCCAAATCAGTGGCCAAAATGTTAAAATGATGGCATGAAATGCAAGACAATGCATGCACATGCTCTAGCCCACCAACTAAGCATAAAGCATAACTCTCAAAAGTGCTCAAGGAGTGACAAATGTGAGAGTGTAGCAACACTATAAGCACTGAAATAAGGTATGAAATGATGACATATCATGCAAGCAACACAAGCATGGCATGCTAGGGTCCATAAGCATTAAAGCTAATGAAGTACACATCACTAAGGCTATACCATGCAATGCTCAATGGACTAAACCAACCCTAAACAGTCCTCATGCATGCCAAAATAATAGTCAAAATGCTCTAAAATGCTAGCATTGAAAGCAATAAAATGCATGATCATGCATTGGCCCATGAACTAGGCACAAAGGTGCAACTCTCAAGAGCACTTAAAGAGTGAAAAACATGGAAGTGTGACAACACTATATGCTCTGAAATATCATTCCAAATGGCGCCATGCCATGCAAAAGGCTCAAATAAAGCATGCCAAGCGACTTGAAATACAAAGCTAGTCAAGGGCTTTACACTACGACCATACTAAGCAATGCTCAAATGACCTAAAGCACTCAAAACAGACCTAAGGCAGGTCAAAATAGTGGCAAAAACATGCTAGACTCGCAACAAAGATGGCAAGAAAGATAGGCTCCCGAATTAGCTCACAAACAAGGCATAAGCACATTGAAGGAGTAATAAACATGAGAGTATGGCAAAGATATAAGCTCTGAAATATCATTTAAAATGATGCCAAGGCATGCAAACATCACAAGTATAGCATGGTAGGGGCCTCAAAACTCAAGACTAGTCAAGGCATTTGCACTATAGCTATACAAACCATGAGTCATATGACCATAGAAGCCCAAAACAGTCCTAAGATAGCCCAAACTATGAATAAAATCATGCTGGATAATAACCAAAATATGCTAGAATAATGAGCCAAAACATCATGCATACAAGGCTAGTAAGCAAGATTTGCACTACAAGTACATGAGGCATGCAAGAGGTAACCAAACCAACTTTAGACAGAGTTATGACATGTCAAATGATGGCCAAAAACCTACTGAAATGGAGCCAACACATGCTAGAAAGGCATACTACTTTGATGAGCCACAAATGGGATTACACTACACATACAAGAAGCATGCAAGGAGTGACCAAGACAACCAAAAACAGAGTTATGGCAAGTCTGGAAAGTCACAAAAATGAGCCTAAACAAAGCCTCCAAGAAATAAAAACACATGCTCATTTGGTTGGTCATCAACACAAGTAAACAAGAGAAGACAAGGGGGGACAACCCCCACCTATTTTGGCCCTCAAAACAAGTTTTCTACCACTAAAATTCCTTTGGATTTTAGTGGTTCTAAGGCCAAAAAAAATTTGTTTGAAAAGTTTGAAAGTTAGCTCACAAGGCCTTACAAGCCAAGGAGTAAAAGGAAAGACAACCCCCTAGCCAACCAAGGCACAAGCCAAGACTTTTAGGAATGAAAAACAGAGGAAAAATAGAGGTTTTTGTAGTTCAACACCACCCGAAAAAACAGCCCCAAAGTAGTGTGAAAAGATGGTCAAGCAAGTGTGTAAAACAAGCTTAAATGGAGGGAGATCTTACCCTTGATGTACACCTTCAAAACTAGCCAAAATCTGAGCCAAAATCAGCCTTTTGGAGCTCTAAATGATCCTCAAAGAACCTGAGCCCAATGGTGGTTAAGTTTGGTTAAGGGTGCCTAGGCAAAGGAGAGGTACATCTTCAAGTATACCTCTTGCATGCACACAAGGTCAAAAGGGAGAGCAAACTTGAGTGCAAAGCTGAACTTTAGCTCTGGAATTTGTAGAGAGAGAGAGAGGTTTAGTGAGAGAAGCTCTCAAAACTTGCTTAGGAAGTTCTCCCCTTTGAAAATGAGAGATATAGCCTCATATATAGCAATACAAAGCTTTTGGTCGAAAATATCTGATTAAAGGATAGCTGGAGTTTGCTGGAAACAGCTGGAGATGAAATATCTTCAAAAAAAAATGAATTTGGCTCACTTTTGGCTGATTGGCCATCTTTAGTGCCGATCTGCTACTTGTGATGGCCGATCTGCTACTTTTTTGGCCGACTGCACACATTTGTGGCCGATAGGAAATTCTGCTCTGCAGGTCCAACTTCAAATGGGCATAACTCCTTCATATGAACTCCTTTTCAAGTCATTCTTGTGTCCAAATTGAAGCCCCGGAAGTAATCTCTCCAATGGTGAAACCTTGCATCAAAATTCCAACTTTGCAAAAAGTTATGCCTCTTTTGGTGAAGCCACTCAATTTCGGTCCAACCGGAATGATGCCCAACTTCAACCAACCATATCTTCCCCATCTGAACTCGGCTTTGGAGATTATTGAGTGTAAAATGAAGCCCCAGAAGTAAGATTTCCAACGGTGGTGGCCTCATAGCTTAACTCCAAATTCATAGACAGATAGGCTTGATTTAGCGAGGACAGCTCGACTCTCTCTTAACGGTTCATGCCCATCTTCTTCCTCAACTAGGTTTCTTCCCTCTTCTCCTCTTTTCTTCAAATCCAAACCCCTAAACAAGGTGTTTTGAAATATTTTTCAAAGATTTCACCTCTCTTTCATTCATTTCCACTTTGTCCTCGCCTGGTTTATCAAAAAGCGCAACATTTGACAAAATGCGAGCCTCGAAACATCGAAGGAATTCTTTTTTAAAAATGTTTTGAAAGAGAGGGTTTTAAGGTCTAAAAACCATCCAAAACAGCTTTGGTCCAAAACAGGGTGTAAGGTTAGGATTTGACTCTCCTCTTGCCGAAGAAATCAAACCTTTGCCCTGCACATCTTTCATCACCAAGTAAACCATCAGTAACGCTCAAGTCTTAAGGACGGTCAAAAATTGGGTGTCTACAAGGTGCAACCATCAACAAAAGACGCATAGTATGAGGAACCCCCTTTAGTGAGAACATGAGAGGGTCTCCAAACATTAGTATGCATAAGAGAAAATGAAGAAACAGAAACTGAAGTACTTTTATTAAAAGGCAAAGCCAATATTTTGGCAAATTTACACCCCCGACATTCATCAATTTGACTAGGAGAAACTTTACCCAATAATCCTGACTGAGCTAAAGATCGTAAGTGGTCAACAGACAAATGACTTAGGCGAGAATGCCATAAGTAAAACTAACTCGACTGAGAATCTAAATGAAATGAGGAAAAATCAACTAGAGAGGTGAATAGAGGGAGATGCAAGCTTTCTACCACATAGAGATCTCCAACTCTACGACTAGTTCCAATTTGCTTCTTGGACACTCGATCCTACACACAACAGACAAAAGAGAAAAAGATAACATCAAAACCAGAAGTATCAAGTTGACTGATAGATAATAAACTGACAAATAGTTTAGGAACATAAAGAACACAGGGAATAGTAACAACAGACATGACAGAGGATAAGACAGACCCAAGAGATAAAACAGGCATACCAAACCCATTAGCAGTATTAACAGTAATAGGAAAGGAAGGGGGGGAGACAATTTTGAAGTAAGGAAAGGTGAGGAATCATATGATGAGAGGCACTAGAGTCAAAAAGCCAAACAGAAAAGAAGATACCTAAAGAGGACCCAAACAAACCTGACTGAAGAGAGGTGAGAGTAGAAGCAGATGAGGATGGTTGGGAGGTGAACATAAAATGTTGAAGCTGAGCCATCTGGGCACGCAAGGAAGCCAAGTCAGGATCAGAAGCTGGAGCAGATGCAATATAAGTAGCAGAAGGTCAAAACTATGTCTGAGGTCGCTAAGAAGACTAAGCAAATTGACGTCCCTTCTTGGAACAGTTGTACTTCTAATGGCCCTTCTGATGGCAAAAAGCATACTCATCAGAGGCTAGTAGCCCCTTCTTGGTCTTCACATTTCCCTGCAGCTAATGAGGTAGTGGGGTCGACAACATAGGAGGCTGAGTAGGAGCCAAGAAGATAGATGGAGACAGAGTCTGATTGGCCGTCTTAAGACGGGTTTCCTCAGAGACGAGCTCACGAACAATAGTATTCATAGAGGGGAGAGGAGACCGATGAAGGATGCCACCACGGATAGCCTCATACTGAGGGGAGAGAGCCGTTAAGAACTACACTAAACGACCTTGCTCCTGAAACTCAACATAAGCGTCTAGGGCCTTGAGGCTAGATGGTTCCATAAGAGCCAACTGATCCCCAAGACCTATAATCTCAATGTAAAAGTCCTGAATAGATTGATTCCACTGACGAGCACTCTAAATAGCTGTTTCCAACGCATACCGCTTGGCAAAGTTAGACTGCTGATACACACCTAATAAATAGTCCCACACCTCCTTAGCAGTGATGTATTTGGAAAACATTATTCCAATACGGTCATCCACAAAATTATGAAACCAGGTCAGAACTTGGGCATTATCACAATCCCAAGTGTCACAGGAAGTCAGCTATCCTTCTTGTTTCGGGTCCAATGGACGAGGAACAAAACCAGAAACATAGCCCAATTTTTTCTACCCAAGAAGGAAATTCTTTATAACACTAGCCCAATAAGCATAATTGGCACCAGTGAGTTTACATCTGATAGCTTGGATTTTGGTGTCCGTCATTATAATAAACCAAAGATAAAATAGGTCAAAGTGTAATAATAATTAACAGGTGGGCTAAACAGAAAATTAGATTTTCTTCTTCTTTTTTATTTATTTAAATATTAACCAAATAAGAGTACTGATAACAAGTGGGTAAAGTTTCAAACACAAAGATAGAGAGAGAAAGAACCAGGGGCATAGATGAACCAGACGAAGCCGATGAGAGTCACAATAAATCGAGATGAACCGAGAGAGTCACGATGACTAGAGGCAGTCGATGAGTTGCGATGAAGTCGACAAGAACCGGGAGAGACTCAGCAGATAGGGTCGTGATTGAACCGAGACCGAGTGGCAGAGGGTTCTGGGTCAGGGTCAGAGATGAAACAGATGAAGCAAACCCACTACAGCTAGGGTTTCAAACCAGGCTTTGATACCATGTAAGTATTCTGAATAATCTGTATATTCAACTTGTATCAATTGCATCAAGACCGTACTTCATATAACCCTAATGCCTAAACCAAAAAGGAAATATAGACTCACGCACACAATCACGCCTATACAATCATGCCTAATATATATATACACAATCATCCCTAATATGTACACAATCATGCCTATATACGATTATATTCTCACACAAATGTTCTCCATTGTTTGAAATAATCTTGCATGGGGGTTTAATGAGATAAGGTTGGTTCACTTTTACTCGAAACTTATATTTTCTTCACTGTCTCAGATTTTATTGAAGGTAAAAATGCTTTAATAAATTGAAAATAACTTGTGTTGAAAATCTGTTGGTACTGGGAGTATATATAGGTGTTCTATACATGTCTAAATTTTTATAAAATCATTGGACACCATTTCTTACTGAAGTAAATATTCGTCCTAAGTGTTATTCACAACACAACAGAAACAGTGACTTCAAACAGGTCCCATTTTCTCTGCAAATGGTAGTTTTCTACACGACTACTTGGGATAGTTAGATATAAGAGTTACCTTTCATTTTCACCGATTTCAAAAAAAAATGGACAAGTCTAAAAGGAGAAATTGTAGTTTTACTAAATTGCAACAAAATCTGTCCTATTTTCTTAGAAAAATTATTTGACCATCTTTCATTGGTTTTCAGTCTTCAAACTCTTCTGAAAATATGTTCTAAACTCAATATCTAGCATGCCGTTCTGACCATACCTCTTTTTGACACCTTTTGATGCCCTTTTTTATTTTTCAAACACAGATCACCTGCGCTGGAAGTTACCGTAACTCACAGTCCCAAAAACCAAGTTTCTTCCAAATTTTATTTCTCTATTTTAAAATCGTTTTTAGCCATGGTATTTTTCGTGAAATATTTTTCTAACTCAATAAACTAGTACCAGTTAAAATATTGTAATAATTGAACTTCGTTTGATATGGGTTTCATTATTTTTAGTCTAACCATACAATGCTGAAAAGAAGAAGTGTGTAAAATTTATTGAAATTTTGTGATGACTCCTAAGACATTCTATGATATTTATTTTGGTTGCCATACATGCTTATGTTGTGCTATATAAACCTTATGTCACTGTGGCTTGCAAACTAAAACTTGTACATGCTTCAAAATATGAATTCGACGAAGTAAAAAACACGAAATTGAATCGATGCATTAAAGTTTAAAAGTGATGGGGTGAGCCCAGTTTAGAGTCTTGCGTAAATGAGTTGCGAACCCTAACACGGCACAGGAACGTATTTCGACTCTTATCAGTATAGGCAATATAAGATTGGTGGTGCTGGTGTCACAACATAGACCATTCCCTTGGGGCAGACCATGATGTCATGACTCAGGTACGTAACCCTGGTGTGTGGGCATCATTTGTAGTTATAGCAAGTAACATTTGAATATTTGACCAAGGGGGAGTCAGAATTGCCCGAGGCCATTGCTTAGCGGTTGAGTGGAAATAGTGCTCCGCAGGGAGTTAGACTTACTTGATAAACTAAACTTATGTGAATTTAAAAAAAAAATGACATTTTCCTTATGATGAATTACTGCTTCCGCTTGCCATTGTTCTTATTATCTATTGTTATTATTTCAACTAGTAGTATTCTTGTTATGCTTATTAAACGCTGCTTGTTACTCTGTTACTACACATTATTCATTAATTGTGAGTATTGTTATCGAGGTGGGTATTTTCGGGTTGTAGTATCTTATTGAGCTCATAGCTCATTTGCATTACTGTTGCTCTGACATTTTATGCCAGGTATCGAAGAAATCGAAGGAAACACCGAGGTCTTGGAAGGCGACATTCAGCCTTGGTTAGCTTGAAGTGTGCCCAAGTTCCATGAACCTTTTTTCTGAATTTTTTCTAGTTTTTCTCTTGTTTCTTTTTCTTTTTTCTTTTTTCTTTTTTCTTTTTTTTTTTTGTATTTATGTCTTTCTTTCATGTACTAAGACTAAGTCTTAAGTTTTATTGGAGTTATAATTTAAGAACTTTTAAATTCTATGTTGTTAATTAATGGATGATGGTAAACTTAGTGGCAACATTGATGAGGAGTTCTTAATTAAAAAAATTGGTTTTAAGTTCTAAACCTTATTATGATGTCCTTAATTTTTTGGGCGTCATAACTTGGTATCAGAGCATAGGTTGAGAAACCCTTGAGATGTTAAGGAACCGTAAGCCTGCTTGTTAAATAACTTATTAGTGGTTATAGTGAGCATTTTTAGTTACTAAGTAAAATTTTGATTTTTGTAGATGGCAAACGAAAATCAGAATGGATGGTTGGAGGAGAAACTTAAGATGTTAGAAGAACCTATTGATTGGGAGGAGGATCCAAAAGAAGATCCAGAAGAGAACTTGGAAGAAGAATTCAGAGTAGGAGCTGATGGTGATTCTGATTCTGAGTCTGACTCTAATCAGGAATTGGAGGAGTCTGATCCTAAATCCTCGATAGAGGACGGCCCTGAGGCGACCTTGAGACACATGAAGGTGCCGCCCAATCCTGCCGTATGAGAAAGCAGTATTTGTAAGGGTTACCCCTACTAGGATGTGCTATTAGAGAAGCTCTCCTAGAATGGACATATTTATCAGGCCAATCCAGATAAGAGAATATCTGGACAATAATTTCTATCGAGTATGGAACCTACCACCACAGTACGTCGCAAACAAAGGTGATACATTTCTACTCCGAGATATTCGAACTACCCAACCTTCTTTCGATCATGTTGTCCGAACCTTAGACCCATTAGTAAATTTTAATAGAACTGTCGCATATCATGAGATCCCCACCTGCGTGATTAGGTGAATGGTGTGTCAGAATGGGGTGCGGATAGTCCTTTTCCATTGGGAGTGTTATGGGCTACCTGATGAGGCATGGGAGTTTGAGGAGATAGTGTATCAACGTTATGCCCGCTTGCTTGGTTAGGAGATGGCAAGTGTAGAAGTTAGGATAACAACAAATTTTCCAGTACTTAATTGTAGTAGTCCTAGTTTCTAACTTAGGGTTTTTGGCAAAAATAACGCAATGAGATAGGAAGGGGTAGAATGAATTTTTTTATTTTTGTTTTTCTTTTATGAATGTACTAATCTTTTATTATTATTAATGAAATCCTAGTATTTAAAGGTTTCTGTGTTTAACGAGGATTGTTTTTCATGCATTTTATCAACAAATAAATAAATGGTGTAACAACAATATCCTTCATATAGAAAATGGCTGGAAGAACTAGGGCAAATGGATCCAATGACAACAACAACAACGACAACAATAACAACAGTGACGTCATGAACTTCATTCGGGCAATTACTAATGAACTAAGAAACCAATCCAGGCGTGAACAATAAGGCAGAATTAATAGCGAAAGTTCAAAAACTCAGACCCCAAATTTTTTTTCTGAGAACCCAATCCCTACACAGCTGAGGCTTGGATAAGGCAAGTGAAGAAAATATTGGAGACGCAAGAAATTCAGAACGAGCAGGACCAAGTGTTTCTTGCTTTATTTCTCTTCGACAAGGAGGCCGATTTATGGTGGACAATGATTAAGGAAAATTGTCAAGTGGCAGAACTATCTTGGAGACAGTTTGAGGAATTGTTTATGGACAAGTACTTCCCAAACTCAGTAAAGCAGGAGATGATTCGAGAATTTCTCCAATTGAAACAAAGGAGCATGACTGCGACACAGTATGCCATTCGATTTGAGGCCCTTTCTTGCCATGCCACAGCTATAGTGGCAAATGAAACAGACAAAGTAAGGCACTTTGAGTGGGGATTTGACTCGGGAATCCAAGACAAGTTGGTTGTAGTGCAGCTATCTACTTATGCACAGGTAGTAAATAGGGCTCTTACTTTAGAAAAAGAGAAAATGGACACTGCATTGAACTACTTTTGTATATAAGTCTTGGGTTCGATTGACTTAAACTTGTATGATCATGTATGTACAGTGTTTTGTGTTAGTACATATTTTGATGTGAGTTATTAACATACAAATGTTTGGATTGTTATGGTGTGCATATAAGCACAGCTCTATGGACAAAGTTTTAAATTTTGCTTCCGTTTGGCCCCTTTTCTCTGATGAGTTTTGTTTGGTTTGGTTCGAGGCCATAGGTAATCTCGTGATTACTGGCCAGTTATGGCCTTAACCCATAGGGGCGGGTTCGGGTCGTGACAGAATGGTATCAGAGCATGAGTTAATAACTCACACACTCGTCCAAAAGAGCAATAAGCGTCTAGAAAAGATCTAGGATGCATTCATGTGATAAGTATGAATCTAAAAGCATCAAGAATACGCTTAACTGTTAAATGTAAACAACTAT